GACTTAGTCCCCTATATTTGGTAAAAAAAAACAAGTTAAGTGAAAAATTCTCCGCAGCTTTCTTTGTTTGGTTCAAAGAAATAAAATAGTGATTCTGCATCGGATAAAACTTAATCTAAAACCAACGGTGAAAAAAACCATTTTTAATATAAATTTTTCCAAAACATAATATGTATCCAACATGATGTGTTTTATGGTTTTGAAATCTACGTTTATTTAGACAAGATTTTTCTCGTGCGATTCATTAGGTTATAGACGAGATTTTTCTTAATGGAAATTGGACTTCATCGAATATTGGTTCTTAGTCATTACATCTTCTCTTCGGCTATAGACGAGATTTTCTGCATGAGATCCGGGAAGTTATACCATGGTGAATGTTTTGTTATGGACAACATTGTTTTGGTTTTATAGACTAAGATTAAGCATAATGCAGGGTTGGATATCTAGAAGGTATCTTTGGAAGATAAGGGGCTACGGGTCATCACGGTTAGAATGGAATATGTATGTTGCAATTTCAGTGGAAAGCGGAATAGTGAAGGAGTAAAAGTATGTATTTGAGCAAGTTCTACAACCTATTGAGAGTTTCAAGTACATATGCTCTATAATTTATAAGAATGTGTATTGAGGATGACATCACAGGCATGTGGGATGGTTAAAGTGGAGAGCAACCATAAGAGTTTTGTATGACAAAACGGTTCTGCTAAAACTAAAGGAAAAAGATGTAACATCATAAAATGAGGTTGAACGTTTTGATTTAATGCCCATGTTATTATTATTATTATTAACTCGTTAACATTTGTTAAGGGTGTGTTGTGTATCATTAAGGATGTTAGAAATACAGATCTAGCATATGTACATAAGGTAATATGAAAACATTGAAAGTGTGTTGCTATTAACATATTGTCCTTAATTTTTGAAGAATTGTTGAAGTGGGTTGTGATTAGGCTGTTGATTCAAGGCATGGAACCTAGTATAATTAGTTAGAAGTCAAATAAATCTTCCCTGATTTTGGAGTAAGAAATAAATAAATGAATGAAGATATAAAAATTTACAAACCACATTTGGAAAAAGTTAGCCTATCTAGGGGTTCACGAATTGTATAACCTCTGTGGTTGACAGTTTTAAATATCAAAATTTTCATGGAATGAGCTTCTGGTTCATGGCGTCTTCAGTATTAAGTGTTGATGCTTCGGGAGGATTTGATTGTTCAGATTGAGAAAAAACAATGAGGATTTGCATGCAGATCATAACAAACAACAAGAGTATTGCACAAAATGTTATCGCTTCCCAAGAGAATGAACACCATTCGAAGAATTTAATCACTCCAAATAATAGAAGACATGACCAAATAATAACAACCTGTCCATATAAAAACAAAACCAAGAGGGTAAGGTAAGCAACCAAAAATAATAAATAAATAAATAATTAGTTATAAAGTCTTCTTACATATAATGATTTCTTTGGTCTACCAATGCCATGACATTCCATGTCACCAAATGTGTTTTCAGACTGATGTAGCTCCAATGAAGCATCCTGAAAATCCAAAACATTGACATGATTATTCATAATCATCATGGGATTAATCTTTGGTGAAATGTTGATAATACCTTTTCAAGAAATATGTCTCTACACCATTGTCTAATGTCGGCATCGGTATGTGGCAACTCACGAATCAAGTGTCTTTTGACATGCACATGTACCTACAAGAAATAATGACACTGGAATATGTGATAAGAAGTAGGAAGACTCCCAAATGGTCTTCTCTTGCCTTGTCCCATATAATAATCGCAACTAATTGTCAAAACTTGTGAAAATGATTTAAGCTAAAAGAACTAATTCAACTATACAAGGTAAAGTAAAGATGTCAATGTGATAAAAATAAATAAATAAATAAATAAAGACAAGTGTATGTATATATATATATATATATATATATATATATATATATATATATATATATATATATATATATATATATATATGGTGTTTGTAAAGTGTAATGGGTTTACCGTGGAAGATCTTCCTCTGAACATTCTCAAGATTGTTGGCAATGGCTCATTTTTAGGAACTGCCACTGTACAATTGTATATTGCTGGAACAAATGAGCGCAAGTGATTGACTGCAGCAACAAAACCCTGAAAGATACAAAAATAGCTACTTTTTAGTTTAGATGATACATCATAAGTATTAGTTTTTGAGAAGCAAACAACAGATCTCATATATTCAGAGTTTGGAGAGAAAAAGAAAATAGATTTTAACTAAACCTTTGTTCGAGGGATCAAAACATTCCTAGGAACAGGTGACTTTGTTGCAATAGCATATTCCTGAGCAGCAAGAAGCTTTGCATGTGTAAACCGTGTCCCTTCTACAAAAACAGCTAACCAGAAAGGCATTGGGAAATCTCTTAGGTTTTCAAAGCCTTCCTGTAGTTCATCCCTCCCCCCAAACAAAAACAAAAAAAAGAATATCATCAACACTCGTTATTCATTCCCAATTTAGATTATGAAAGATTCTTGAAATGATGAAATCTCACCATCAATATATTCTCATCTTTAGACCAGTTTCTTTCCAGAAAGATATATTCAGTAAACCACATTGACCAGCCAATAACCTGCATAAAAAAAAAAAAACACACACACTCTTTTTCTTATTTTGATGATATATACAACTAATTTAAAATGTATTTAAACATACCGGAAGGAATTTTAATGATTTTTTAACCAAAGCAAGAGTGCTACCAAGACAACCTGAACGCTGCCAATAACAGAAACAAAATTAATGAATAATATATTAATATTATATAGTCGACAAAGTCAAAGTATTTTTTTCAAACAATTACCTGAGCCAAGACCCATCCAATGAGCCAATCAATGTCACTTTTATGGTTGCAAATAAGGAGTACATGTTCCTTACCTGAAGATATATATAATCAAAATAAGCTGATGTGTAAAATCTGTTCAAAGGCTGCATACGAATGTTATAAGGTAACTATATGAACTATTGAAATAATACCACAAGCGGCTAAGGAGAGCTCTCACCCATTAATTCAAGTGTTTCAGAATCTATAAATAAATCAACCTGTAAAAGATGATCATAAAATTTTAGAAAATATATCCCCTATCTGGAAGTAGAGTTTGCAGCATGAGAGTAAGAAACAATGAATGAATAATAACCATCAAACTTCCAATACCTTAATGTGTGCCCACCAGTCGAAAAGCCATATGAGCTCCAACCACAGGAGTTGTGCAAGACAAGCATTGATCTTCCTGTACATATTTTTTGAACATGGACGAACAAGGACAAAGAAGAATGCCTGAAAAGTACAATCATAAACTAGTTAACCAAATTATTAGCATCAAATAAATAAACATGATCTGAATAAAGGTTCAGGTCTTCAGACTTAGCTACTACTCCCTTCTTCCCAAGATAATTGCAATGTTTGTCTTAACACATAGTTTAGTGAGATTGTTTGACTACCAATGAGATATTTGAAATGCCCTCCATAGTCCAGTATTTTGTTATAAGTATGATGTGGAATGAATTGAATTGGAATGGGATCTCAAGATTTTTACATAAACTCGTCAATTTGGAAGTTAAAACCAGTTGGTTTGACATTAAAGCTGAGTTGTTTCTGATTCAAGGCAACAATATTCTTAATTTTTTCCTCAATATAAAAGCATTAAATGGCTCCCCTCCCTTTAGGGAGAAGGGCTATACATACTAACGTGTCCCTAGAGACTCCATGTTATGTAGTAACCGTTAGACTTACATGTCACTGGAGAAAATAAATGAAGCATATCCTCCTAATTCCTACAAACTAAAGCAAATTAACACTAGAAGTGAGCATTGCCTTTGCGATTTACAGAATTTGAAACACAACACGAAAAAAAAAGTATAGAAACATAATTTGAATTCCGAAAATTCGACGCTCGATAACAAATTTTCTCCGTTGCTACCAAATACCGATAATTCCTCGATCTCCACCCCAACAACAAATCTTTCTAATTGTGTATCTAATCATTTATAAGCAATAGGAAAAGAAAAACACAAGTAAAAATCAAATTCGTATAGATTGGATGAATGAATTGAAATAATACCTGGAGAAAATTGATGATGAGTCCAGATAGAAGAAATAGTAAGCCGATAGGCAAAACCACCACCGCTGCGATGGCCATTGGTGTGGATTTGGACGGGAGAATGAAAGAAGACGTAAGGAGGACGAGAACGGAAAAAGGTTTGAATTGGAGAGAGATTGGGGAATGATGAATGGATGATCGCCCGACATTCTCGGCATCTGCTCGTTAACAGAGACTCACATGCTAATTTTGTTAGAATTTTTTTTTTTTCATAACTACTAGATCTAAAAACCGCAAATCAAATGCCAGGTTTTCTGTGAAATGCGCCAAATTTGAGAGGTTTGATTTTGGAAGCTTTGTGATTTTCGGTTGATTGGTGATCTTGGTTGGTATGCGCCAATTATTAGCTAGCTGATGTTGAAGAAAGATATAATTTTGGAAGCGTGTATTCAAAACTTGGTTGCCATTACTGGGAATTCATTCTCTTTGTTAAGTCTACGCTTCTCAAAATATAAAATGTAAGATTTATAAAAGACGACTTACTAAAAAGTCAAACAAACAATTTTTGTCCTAGTAGTAAACAGATAAAGAATCTACAAATGTAACAAACGCAAGATTAATATCTATAATTATCAACGCTGCAAAACTTCCCTTACATGTATGTATATTGGCATTGAGCCACAAGACAGCAACAGAGATTAAGAGCATCAACCTCAAGATGCTCCAAAACATTCTTTCACTCTATTATACTAACAAAAATATTCAAGTTGTTTACCAACTTAGTGTTCCTGATCATAATAAGAAAGAAATAAATGGAAAAAGTGCAACCAAAACCAAATTATTATCAAAATATAATCCATAAAAGAAACAAATAAAATATCCAAATGATTCAAGTACAGACAACATCAAGGCAAATAGCCTTACCCTTAATCAGAAACATTTGTGGAGAAAATTTCAACCATAAAAAGGTAAATAAGAATGTATTAAAAATCTGTGGTGTGTTGAATAATTTAAAGATATAAATTAAACTCATAATCACTTGTAGCCTTCCGTATCACATCACATATATTTGGTCAACCAAGGTAGTTCATTGCTGTCCTTGAGTGCAAAACTCACATCATCACTGCCATCATTCCACCATAAAAAAAAAAAAAAAAAAAAAAAAAAAAAAAAAAAAAAATCAGAATGTTTATAAAAAGTTAATTGATATAAAATCTTTTTAATCCTAAAGTTAATTACAATAACCAACCTAGGAAAGTTGAGCTGCAACTTCTGCAACCTGTGACTCGCCCCTGATTCACAAAGAACAATTCTGGATTCACCAAGCTTACACCTGCCAATAAAAGAAACAATCTTGAAATTATGTAAAAACAAGTTTTTATTTCAAATAAACATTTGAATATAAAAATCTGGCTTACCCAATTCTCAGTAGTGTGTCCCATCCAGGAAATGTGATTCCATTGCTTGTACACAGACATGAAACCGTTTGTGCCAGCTGTACCCACAAAACAAACATCAGAAAAAAAAAAAAAAAGAGAAATCTTCTTCCTTAATAAATGAAAATAATTTTGCCACATGTCATTCTCTCGTGCATTATGACACATGTCATTTTGTCATAATTTTGAGATATTTATTTTCCACTTGTCATTTACTTCATTTTTCATTATTCAATATATCATTAATTTAGTTTCCATAAATTAAAGATACCATAATGACCATATTAATTTCAAATTTCAAACTTCAATTTCAATTTTAAATATATTTACAGTTTAAACCTTCGTATTTAACATTTTGTTATAATTAATACATTTAGTACACGGGTCTGACAACTAAACATATAATTTTAATTTATTTATTTTTTTCATGTTTTTTTTTTCTCATAATTTTTACTTCTTTCAAATTTCAAATTCAAATAAACTTATTGTTTAATCATTCGTATTTAATATTTTGTTTTAATCAACCCGTATAATATACGGGTCTTACAGTTAGTAATAATAATAAGAAAAAGTCACGAGTTTATATATTTGAGGAATCTAATTAGTCAATGGTATGTGCACATGTTGATGTTTAAAATAAGCTCCATACATATATATACATATAATTTAGTCGGATTTGAAGTCAAACTTGTAACTTGCGGATGATATATATATATATATATATATATATATATATATATATATATATATATATATATATATATATATATATATGAGATTTTTTAATTACTTACATTCCACATGTTATTATGTGGTATTTTCATTTTTTTGTTAATAAAAAATTGATCAATTCCACTAATTACCACCTCTATTATTATATATGTAAAGTATTTATTATATTAAATGTGTAGATCAACACTATAACTAATGAAATACTATTTATTACTTAAGATAAGGGTAAATAGCACAAAAGACATTAAGTTTACACCAAAATTCTAATTTGACAGTTTTGATGATGTGGCATTCTGGTACATGTCAAAATTGAATATTTTTTTTTCCACAAAAGACACTAAGTTTTCCCTTTTTTTCAATTTTGACATTAAGTTTAATTTTTTCTTTCAATTTTGACACTTGTATTTATACAAAAATATGGTTTTTAAATGAAAAAATATATATATTTATAAGGTCTAAAATGTATTAAAAAATTATTTATATGGTTTCAAATGGAAAATTGTCAACATTGAACAAAATTGGAAAAATGATGTTTGATTTGGAACAAAAAAACAGAGTGTCAAATTGAAAAAAATAAATAAACTTAGTGTCAAAATCAAAAAACAGTGTCAAATTAGAATTTTGGTGTAAACTTAGTGTCTTTTGTGCTATTTACCCTTAAGATAAATATATTTTTCTCCATAAAATGAATATAATAATAAATAGTTTGTTTTTTCTACCACTAAAAACATTTATTATGATTTTTTTGTTACATAAATTAAAATAATGAAATATTATAAAACAATATTGTCAAAATTGAGATATAATAAAATATATTTTGTTAGACTTTGAGATGAAGTAGGCATAAAAAATATTTAATGTTTACACCTTGATATAAAACTTTTATTCTTAATAAACCTGTGTAATACACGGATCTCACACCTAGTAGAAAAATATGCAATCTATGATTTATGAATCATCAAAAGAAAAGAAAAAAAAACTGACCTTTTCGAAGGTGGTTTCACTCATTCCTGTCTTATAAAGCTCATGCACCATTGCAGCTAAGAAAACCTTACTCAGTTTAGAACAATTTCTCATTACCTGAAAAAGGGCATAATTGGAATTTTAACTATATGACATGATAGGATTCATAATGATATTATTAAAGAGACATAAGCTTACAAATTTGACCAAAAATTCATCATCACTGACCTGAATATGAGGAGCCTGGAACATCTCCTGTATGGCTGCTTCCACATCAGCCATGCCTACAAGGGCTTTTCCTGCAAACATGCACCCACCATAGAAATCATGCTTCATAAAGGTACATTACATGAAGAAATCACATTTTGACATATTTTTTTATATAGGATTTGAGTGTTTGTGGTATAATGATATAGGTTGATAGATAAGGGGATGTTTATTTTTGACATAATGGACTTAATGGGTTAAGAACTTAGGCCTTGTTTCTTTTTTTGCATATTAAGTCTTGAATTGATGAATTAATAAGGCATACCGAATGAATAATGATATATGTGTGGATAAAGTGTTTCTGTAAATATTGAAATGAACGCAATGTCGGAAATCGGAATCTGAATAAATGACTATTTTACTCTTCTATTTAAAATTGTCAAATAACAAATGACCATTTATTTGATAACCATTGTAAAGGATCTCATTAAAAAACTAAAAATCAAAATAATTCTAAATTGTTTGAATCACCGTTTTATTGCATACCTGAAGTATAAATGTATTGGGGATCAAACAGATAAAAAAACAATCAAATGTGCATCATGTTTAAATCAAACAAACATAAACCAATGTTTGTCGATTAGTAACATCTAAATTCAAAGACTTTTTATCAAGCTCACAAACGTACTCATTAATCAAACAATTTGTCGAACATCAAAATTATACCAACCTTAGCATAGTATAAACTCAAATTTAGAACTAAAATTCCCTTCATTTTTTTCAATGTTCCTTTATAGCATTTGGTAATCATTAATCTTGACTATACTGGATCATTATAATAATATGAAAAAAAAAATGAATGCTTCATAAGAAAAGTTAAAACAATGTTGTTGGTGTATATAATCTGATAGAAAGATAGCAGCAGATGAAGTAGAAGGTGTGGAGAGGAAAAAAAAAAAAGGAGGGTATAAGTGGAAAATGTAACATCTGAAAATCGAAAGTGACCTTCCCACTTTACCCACTCAGACACGTGTTACACTTCTAACTTCTAAGTAGGCCTGGGTTTAGTCTTGATAGTTGTCTTCAGTTAGTTACTAAGGGCAATATGGTCATTAATCATTATCTCGTTAGATAGATTAGGTCAGTACTTAGTATAAATAGGTGGTTAGGGATATCTTGGATTTATTTCTGTTAGAGTGAAAGCTCAGGGAGAGAACTAGCCTCTCGAATTCTAATGGAAATGTTGTAATTTTTCACATTTACTAGTAAAGTAGTAATTATTCGGTTCTTATTTCAATCAGTCAGTTCTAAATACCTAGAGTTCATGAACGTGTTTAATATGTTAAGTTAAAAAGAAACACTTATATATGTCTGATTAGCTTAAGTTTTTTACAAATCAAGTCCATTAAGTCAAAAAGAAACACCACCCTAATCTGGATAACTATATATAGTTGTTTCTTTTTTACTTGATCTACAAATAACGACTTAATGGACTAAGTCAAAAGAACCCAGACATAATGTATTCAAGCACTAACCATTTACCTATTTGCACTTCTTTTTCCCTCAACTCCTCTCACAATTAAATTGATGAATATTGTGATAATTGTTAGTTTGGCATGTAAGAAATGAGACTTATGTATACAGCACTGTATCCAGACAGACAGACACCATTACCACATACAAGACTTGATAGGAAAAACATCCCTAAAGTTGTTTTTGTAAGATTATTAAGGATTTATCTTGGAACACCATTATTGGGTGTGTTAGACATATTAGGCTTTTGGGTATTAAGCTTAAAATGGTAATTTAGGCTAGATTAATGGCTTATTATGTATGTGACTATGTTTTAGTAGAATATAAGAAATTAAGAATACTCGTGCATAGTTTACATGTTGGTGATATGTCAACAAGTCAACAAAATAATTCTTACCCGCTTTAGGAATCGAAATTGAATTCTTAACCCGATAGTCTGCAAGTTCTGCTGCACGACGACATATCTCAAGGGCACGACGTGCATCTCCTGAAACTGCTGCAACCTACATACGCACAATACACTGTATGTCTAAATCGATTTTCTTTTTTAAGTCAATTGCTAAATCCATTTGATGGCAATTAGTGTAAATACGGACCTTTCTTGAAGCAAACTCAATAGCTTGTTTCTCAAATGCATCAATTCCTTTAAGACGACACCCAATGATTTCTTGAAGCTGCATGTAGTTGTATGGAGCAAAACAAAGCCTTTGTATACCCATTCGGCTTGAAATTCTGGGAAGCAGCTTTTCTGGAAGATCCATGGTGTTTGCTATTCCAATTATAATAAGTTTGGAATTCGGCTTTGTAGGCCAATCAAGAATGTTGTACAACACCTATGAAAAACAAGTATCAGAATCAATCCAGGGAAGATTTTAGATTTATGGTTATGAGCCGTTGGTTATACCGATTGGTTTCTTGTGACTAGAAGATCAAGTTCATCAATGAGAAGAATACAAGGGCGATCATCGTCTTTGCTGCTTTTGATCCCATTTGTAAACCTGTCATTCAGTAAGTTGAGAGCTTTTTTCCAGCTGACCCTATGTCCTGTCAAAGCTTCATAAATAACCTGAAAACAGCCATGAATTTGGTTTTAGCCTTTTAGGAAATGGATATAATGTAGAACAGTTAAAATTCAGTAACATCTTAAAGTTACTACAGATCAGTACTCTGTATATATTCTCTGGTGTAGCCAATTTCAAACCATTTATCTCCACAAAGGAGTAAGGTTTAGTAATTCCTGCATCAACTTCAGATCGAAGACCCCGCATCACAGAAAGCACACTCATTGTCTGTAAACAAGGGCATATTAGTATTCGGGATGCATTAAAGTCAACAATGTAGTCAAACATCATACTTATGCAGCAAATAAATTCTACCTTCCCAGTTCCAGGAACACCATGGATGTAAAGGCAACGACCTAGACATTGATCATCACATATAGCACCTTTGATAAATGTAGATATTTCTTCCATCTCTCTACATATAAGAAAATGTAAATCATTCAACTTGGGTGGTGATAATGAGACTAAATCAAATCACTTCAAATATCACTTACTTGTTCCTACAAGGCAAAGATTTGGGTAAAGTTGCTAGCAGAAGTGTTGCTTTTGCCTTTTCAAGTTCAGTCTGCTTGTGAGATCTCACATGCTCTGGGATTCTTTTTGTCCCAATTTTCTGAAGTCCAAAGGTGCAGCCCTTTCGTGAGTTCTGCATAATAGAAAGTAATTTGCCTTAAAATTTTAATCAAGAACATGATTAAAAAGAGGGATGATAAAAGAAGTATCCTTACTGCAGCAGCCATTTTGTGAGTTGGGGTTGATTTATATGTATCTTCCTTTTCATATTCCATGTCATCATCTGTCTCAGAGTCTGAATCTTCATCACAACTCCAATCTTCATCATGTTCAGCTTCTTCATCATCCTAACAAATCAAAAGTGGTCAGGTCTTCTGATGTCTTCAAATTTCTTAATTCTTTAAATTACTTACCTCTTCATTGTTTGCTATTTCAGCAATTCGCTTGAAGCTATGCCACTTCACATCGTATTCGTATTCACATAAGAACACATCATCACCTTCATTTCCAGCTTTGGCATATTCATTTGGAGACATGACATAACAATGGCGAAGGATAGTTTCCATCTAGAAGACACTCAAAAGAACAATGTAAGCAATAATGAAGATACACAAAGTTATCAACCTACAACAGTATAACTTAGAAGACGCATTACCTCATTATCAGCAAAGTCATTGGTTCTATATAGCTCCCGTTTCAGATTATGTGGCTGTCTGCCTGCAGATGTTTCCTCGGGAATCATATACCATTGACCCCGAAACCAGTAGCTACCATCGACATCTTTCCATAAACTGATAAACTCCATGAATTAGAACACCAGATGTCTGATTGAAATTAACAAAAGGGTAAAACGAGTTGTTCGAGTTCTGAAATGAGTAATTGTACCTTTCAATACGGACTGCCCACAAATCGCTTGAAAGAAGCTTTTCTTTTGCAGTTCTACGTCTTCTCCTCCCTTTCAGCGCCGCTGGCAATTCTACTTTCTTCCCCAATTTCTTCGCCTCACAATACGCACAAATCCAATCCCCTTCAGGAACTGTTTTCAATGGCGGTTTTAAGCATTTCAAATGAAACCCGCCCAAACAATCATCACACTCGATCATTAAAAGTCGGCCAGCCTTGAAACACACCCTGCACTCCTCAATTTCTGGGTCGTCATCGTCTGAGCTCGCATCCTCTCTCCTCTTCACATACACATCGTCTCCAACTGAAAACAATCCCCCGTCATAAGACACCTTCTTATAATACACTCTCCGTTTGGGTTTTGTGGAATCTTTCTTCTTCCCCTTCTGTTTATCATTTCTCAAAACCTTAGCTTTTATTTCAACAGCTACATTCTCAAATCTACTTTTCCTCTTCTTCGTCTCGGTCCTATCAGGAGACACAGGTGAAAATTCATCATCGTCCTTGATCGAATCGTTTGAGTCTAGTTTCTTCTTCAACACATTGGTTTTTCGATTAACTGAACTTTTGGGAGTGTTCGCAGGTGATGTGGTTTGACCTGGCTGAAGTGGTGAAGAAATGAAGCGGGAGCAGCGCCGAGGTGATGCTAGGGTTTGTGGTGTTTGAGGAATGGGAGTTTTTGGAGACGAGTTGAGTGCTCTTTGTGTGGTTTGCCTGAGCTTCTTCGGTGTTTCCGCCATGGAGATATTGTAGCGTTAGGTAACGACGTCAAAAGAGGAGAGAGAGAGAGAGAGAGAGAGAGAGAGAGAGACAGAGAAAGAGAGAACTTGTAGAGAGAAAAATGGCGGGAACTTGAAGCTCCAATTTCCGCCATTCTTTCAATTACAGGCAACACAAAGAAGATGCCAACAGGGGGGCGATCCGCCGATACGCTGCCCCAAAGCCCAGACGGCTGTCAACTGGACTGTAAATTAATAGGCCCTCTACCTCTATAAACTTATATACTAGCCCATTTACAAAGCTACTTGAGCCCAGAGGCTTTATACTTTTTTTTTGTTTCATACACAACTTCAAAAACATTATATAAGCATTATTATTTTGTCTTTACTGTATTCCAAGCTTATTTGTGTTTTGTTTATAAAAAATAGTCAAATATATCAAAAGACAATTGGTTTGAAGCACATATGTAATTGTAAATTGTAGGGAAAATGACTTAAAAATGTAATAATGTTCCAAAAACGTACAAAAACACCATTATTCTTTTTTTAGTGAAAAAAATATCATTTTACCGGGTATTGTAGGTTAGTAGGTTAAAAGATTTATGGGAATATATGTGCCCTTACCCTTCGTTATTTCCCCCAAAATCAAGGGTTCATTTCTTTCTCTTTCGTTCATTCATCCTTTCCACAAAATCACCACAATGGATTCCAACTTGACAATCGAAGTAAATCATACAGGTTCTTTTGTCCCCAAACCGATTGTGTATTTCAATCCAGTAAAAGTGGTTGTTAGCAATGTCGATTTCAGAAGCATGAGTTTCATGGAGTTCATCTCGTATGTGAAGAAGTTGGTCAAGGATGGAAGAATCAATGTGTACTATTATCTTCCACAACGTTCACTGAGAGATGAGTTTAGAGCCTTGGAAGATGAAAATGATTCTGTACGTTTTCTTGGTGTTGGATATGAGAATAGGGGTATGATCAATGTGTACATAGATCACAGTCAGGAGACAGTTATGGAGTGGATTGAAGAAGAGATAGTTGAAGATCGATCGATAGATGGTAATACGGATGATGATGATGATGATGTAGATTATTAGTTAGATGTTGCAAAGGTGAAAAGAAGTCTAAATGCCCTTTTAGGTTGTGGGCAACTTGGATAAGTAAAGAAAGATCATTTCAGATTAAGTCCTTAATCTATGAACACAACTGTTGTAGGGCCTTCAATTTAGGTGCAATGGTCACATATAGTTGGATTGGAAAACAGTTAATGGAAACCATAATAGATAATCCAAAAATAAGTTACAGGAAAATGGCAACAGCAGTCCTTAGAGATTTTAATCTAAAAGTTAGTTTTGGTCAGTGTAGAAATGCCAAAAAAGTGCAATGGATGAGATAGAAGGGAGTTTGGTGGCACACTATGAAAAGCTTAGGAGTTATGGTTTGGAGCTATTAAGGACTAATCCAGGTTCCACAGTGAAATTTGATGTGGATATCATGCCTGATTCTACAGTCCATTTTTCAAAGATGTATATTTGCTTGAAGGCTGTGAATGATGGTTGGATTGAGTGGTGTAGAAGAGTGATTGGTGTAGATGGATGTTTTTTAAAGGGACTTTGTAGAGGTGAGGTACTTTCAACTGTTGGTATGGATGCTAATAACCAAATGTATCCTCCAGCATGGGCTGTTGTTGTAGTTGAAAATAAGGCAAATTGGAAAAGGTTTTTGGATCTATTGCTTAAAGACATTGATATGTGACAAGGCAGAGGACTAACCATCATCTATGACCAACACAAGGTAGTCAACAGTTTTTTAATAATACTATTTATATTTTATTTTTATTTTATAATGACATTCAAATGTTACTTAATAGGGACTGATTGAAGCAGTTAAGGAAAGAGTGCCAGAATGTGAGCATAGACAATGTGCTAGGCATGTCTATGCCAACTTCAAGAGAAAATTCTCAGGAGTTGGATACAGTAACCTTTTATGGGGTGCTGCCAAGGCCACAACCACCACAAAATTTGAAGATATCATGAAGGAGATCAAATTAATTGACATAAATGCTTATGAACACCTGATGGAAAAAAACCAAACAAATAGTCTAGGGCATTTTTTAGGGAAGATATTGGTAGTGATGACATTAAAAATGGTATATCAGAGTCATTTAATGCAGTCATTGTGGAAGCTAGAAAAAAACCAATAATAGCAATGTTGGAAGATATTAGAGTGTATGTCATGGAAAGAATGTTTACTCAGGAAAGGAAGGGCCTGAAGTGGAACTTGGAGATTTGTCCCTCAATTAGAAGGAAGACTGAGGACATGAAGAAAATACAGAGGTATATAACTATATTTATACATAATACATATATTGTGACAACTGGAAAATCTTGGAACAAGCAAGGTCTATGGTGTATCTATGTATAATGTAAAACCACATCACAACTTGTTGCAATAAAACTTTGAAAGCCAAAAGGGCATTGTTTGTATAAGTATATATAGGTAATTATACTTTGAAAATCATATTCATAATAAAGACTTGAAAGTCAACAAGTTATAACAAGTCAAGATAAGTAAAATAGTTGGAATCAATCATGAACTACACATTACTTTGGAGATTTCGATTTTGGGGACCCATGAACATGGGATTTTGGTCGTAGTGGGCCAAGAGCACAAGCCTAGGCCGAAATCACCAACCTAGAACACCCTTAGGCCGAAATCACCAACCTAAAACCACTAGGACCGAAATCACTTGGTCAAGCCATGCCTAGGACCGAAATCACATGTGATTTCAGTCATAATAGGGAGCTTTTAGTGGGTTTCGGTCAAGATAAAGAGAAGATAAGGAAGTTGACTTTATGATTATGTCACACCCCCGAACCAGACGGCGGAAACGTCCGGGGGCTCGCGTGACTATAAATTGAAATATCATCACAATGAATATACATGAAACATAACACAATCGTCACCAACATTATATATAACAACTGGCATTGTTCACATCAAGTACATTGTTTTACATTACATAATTCGAAGACATAAGTTGTACGATAATTGACATATGCATAAAAGAAATCCCAAAATACTCTCGACGATTCTTCAGCTTAACGATTACCTGAGAATACAAGTTATTTTGAAAACGGTCAACATATATAATGTTGGTGAGTTCATAAGCATGTTTGAATAAAAGTCTTTGTATCTTTTGTAAACCCAGAAAATCCGATATTTTCTGTAAAATGTCCGAAAAATGATGTGAAAATCGAGTATAAATGCATGTGTGAATTTCATAGTAGTAACATATAGAAATGCAGTTCAAATTTCTTTATATATTTTTGTTGTATGTAAGTAGTATTTGAATAATAGTATTTCCCCATAAAATCCGATATTTTCTGATTTATAAATGTCACGGTCCTTGTACTGTAGAAATGTTTTGTATCATTATGACTTACGATTTTTTAATTTTCCGTAATGTCTTAATGGGAATGGATCTCTATATGAGTCGTTATAACCATACATGATAGTGACTGATTTGCCTGTCTTGGCATTTTTCCAAATGCCGGATTTTCGTTCAAGGTTTTGTCACCTTAGACTGGCCTAGTCTAACTGTAGCGAACAGCTCAGGTGTAGGGGAGTCACCCCCGTATAGATCTATACACAAACTCTCGCTCTCCCTCCAGGAGACTCTGATTATAACTACAAGCTACGGTCATACACTCGATGGTGTCAACCGACACGTCTCACTAGATCCCATTTGTCTTCACATGAATTTGTATAATGTTATATGTATTTAGAAGTTCGAACACTAGATGATGTATGAAATGAAAAGATAATGCCCAACAAACATGAAGAAAAGGCACAATGGCCCATTAGACGTGTAAGTTATTTTCGGGCCAAATTAGCATGTAATTGGGCCACTAAGGCCCAATAACATGTAATGCTAAATTAGGCCCATTTAGCATGTAATTGGGTCACTTAGGCCCAATAAACATGTGATGAATACATTGGGCCCAATAAACATGTAATTAGACCACAAAGGCCCAATAAACATGTATAGCAAATACTAGGCCCAATAATCGCACCATTGTTGTATTTCGTTTGTTCGTTATAGTATAGTTTGTTATGTCATAATTATATAATTTGAACTTATTTTTAATAAAACTTGCGCTTTAAACCTCTTAAGAACTAATTTGAGACATTTAAAGGCTTATTTCACAAAAATGTCATTTTTGGTCTATTTTAGTTAAAAATAACATTTTAGCCCATTAATTTATAAAAGTTCTATATTTTCGGCCCAAATGTTTAATAATTGACAGATTTGACCCAAAAATACATGTATTGGCGTTTTCAGCCCAATTTTGCAGAAAATTACATTTTTGACCCATTTTTCGTGAATTTTACATTTTCGGCCCAAATTTCCAAAAAACTTTGCATTTTTAGTCCAATTTAGAAATAAATGTTATTTTCACCCCTAAATTCGGTTTATTTACATTTATGGCTCAAACTTTGATCAATTGACATTTTCAACCTCAAAACTCTTATTTTTCGCAAATTTGGGCCCAAAACCGTGAGGCCCAAATATTAAGCCCATTAGGCTAAAACTTACACTTTTGGCCCTTTGAAAAGTAGGGTTATCATAAAAACCCATTTTTATATAAGTATGACCTGTTTGATCCTTATAAAACCGTAAATGTCACTTTTTGCCCTTATCTTTTGTTTTCTTGACAAATATGACCCTTAACAAGATTTTAGCTTTAAATTTCCATATCTTAAACACGTAAACACTTTTAACTTGATGCTATAATGTATAAGGTGTCTTAGTTCATGGACTTTTACTCAATGTTGTTTAAGATTTCGAGATGTGTTAAGATCTAACACATTTTTACAAAATAAACTAAGAAATCACACATGACATGCATAAAACATATAGATCTACACATTTTACTTGTATTCTCCCCCAAAAATCATGTAAAACCGAAAACAAGGGGGTATGAACTCACCTTGTTTGTTTGATCTCGATTTGAAGAAGAAATGAGTGTGTTTTCGGCCCTAACAAGTCTTCTTGAGTAGATCTCGAGCTTATGGGGGTTTTCTAAGAGTGTGATCACCAAAAATGTTTAGGAGAAGTGTTCTTAACATAAGAATGAAGTTATATAACTTGGATATGTAGGAACTTACCAAAGAAATATGATTTTTTTGGTGGAAATCTCCTTGAACAACCCTAGATCTTCGAAAATTTGGAGAAGAGAGGAGGTTTTCTAGAGAGAGTGTTCTTGAAAGATTTTTGAAAGAGAATGAGGTGGTGAGGGTGAGGTTCGGCCGAGAAGAAGAAGAAGAGAGAGAGGAGGATAGTTGAAGTGATAGGTGCATGGGTACATGCACCCTTGCATGGATACCCAACATATAAAGATTATGTGTCAAGAGTTAAGAAATCCTCCATTTTCCCTATTTTTTTTGTTTTTCTCCTTGGGCCGAGAATGGGCTTGTGGGATGAAGAAAATGGTGTTGATCCCAAACTCCTGGCTTGATCGACTTTTATAGGCCCATTATAATTTTTCGTCCCATTGGGCTCATTAGATGGTTCACGGCCCAATATGATACAAAGGAATGAGTCTATGGTTCATTAGGGCTAATTAATTCTCTTATGGCCCAATAAGGCCCGTTAGGGTTAGAATGAATCATTCTAGGCCCAAATGGTCCAACATGTTGTAGATTTATGAATTAGGTCACATTAGAATCCAAATAGGGTTTCTAAGTCCAATATAGTTGAATTGAATGCTTATTGGTCCATTAGGCCCAATAAGGAAATCCTAGTCCATAATGAACTTGAACCTGGATCTCTAGGGCTTTCAACTCCCCAATTGACCATTTGGATACTTTGTGTAAAGTTTTGAACTTCACTTATGAACCTTGATTAAGTTTGTGGTCATAGAATGAACATAGTGTATGATATCAAGTTAGGGTTACAAGTATTATCATAAATGAAGTTTACATGATTACATAATTTTCCTGGCTAAAAATTCCAGTTGTGACAGATTAGGTATCTCACCCATTTCCCATGCAAATTCAGCAGTATCCCACACAATAACCCAACAAATATCTATGCATTATCCAGCAGATAACTAAGCAACTATCCTATCATCCCTTCTTCCTTAACTACGACAGATCACCCCCACAAACCCCACCCATTCCATTTCTCTCTAAAGATACTACATACCCTCTCAAAGAACCAAGTAAAAAGCTTCCAAGGATTAAATCTCCAAGCTTAATCTTAGTATTTTGGTAAATTGAAGATTGCAAATCCTTTGCTCATATGTTTGATCATTTACATTTCATGTTCCCTCATAATATAAAAAAATTAGGAGATTGAAAATTAAGAGAGAGAAAAGTTATTATGTTTCTAAAAAACAAAACTACAAAAATGATCGATGCTTGAGAAAAATTACAGAAATAGTTAGTGTAACAGAATTACAGAAACGATCATCGTATAAGATAAAGTCTCTCTATAGAAAGACGAAATTATAGAAATGGTTATTATATAAGAGAGTTACAAAATAATCCATGTCTAACAAAGCTACGAAAACGTTTCATGTGTAAAACAAAATTACATAAATGTTCCCTGTATCAAAATTTTTAAAAAAAATGATAAATGTGTAACAAAATTATATAAATTGTCCATCTTATCGTAGCAGGGACTTAAATTCCTCGTTATGTAAGATTAACCTTTTATACAACAATGTCAAGATAAAACTATTATCATATACAAGAGACCAAAACTTATAATGTAATTAAATATTGTCGATAAGATATTATACTCTACATTAGGGATGAGAATTTGGCTCGAAAAAGCCGAACCGAACTGAACCGAACTGAATTAGGCCCGAATAAGCAATTCAATTCGGGTTTCGGGTATCTATATTATGCTTATTCGGTTCTTGGGTTATTCGGTCCGGGTTACCCAAATAAGAGCTTATTCGGTTCTAAATACCCGACCCGAATAAACATTCCTCGTCCCCCTGCTCTGATCGACAGAAATCAAAATCACGATTCACACTTCTTTCCTCGTCGTTCAGAACAGAAAAACACCCTACGTTCTCGTTCTCTTCGTTTCAAAATTAACCAATATTCTCAACTATTTTCAAACTCGAAATCACTTCTGTCGATCCTTCATCTTGTTTCAGACTTTCAAAAATCGACCATTCCTATTGTCTTTAAGGATTCATGAATTCCTACTTTGTCTAGTCATGAAAAATTTGGCTCCAGACTTGTTTTAAGCTCAATGCTTAGGGCAGAGTTATGGCTTTACCCCTTCTTAATCTAGCATTGCTACTCTTCTTTGGGAACAGACCGACAACCCACCACTGGAACTCGCTTTGCTCTCGCTCGGCTCACTCCCGCCTGTCTTCTTCCAACCATAGTTCACTTTAAGAAAGATCCTTCATTTCACTACAGTTGGAACCAAAAAGCCGGAAAACTGTAAATGAAGCTTACATCACCTAACCTAAAAAGATTTGTGCATATTTTGAGTTATGCAGCAATGCTTCTTGTAAAGATCTGTTCAAGAAATTCAAGTAAGAAATTAATTCTTAGTATGTTAATCTACTATGTAAATGTTATTCTTTCAATACATTATTGTGTTATGCTAGTCTTCGAATGTTTTATGTGATGTATAAAAGTACATTGTTATTCTAGTATTCAGGTTATAGAATCCTAATACGGTTTATTCGGTACTTTTTGGTTATATTAGGTCCTTAATCATCTTGTACATTTTATTCGGGTTGTTCGAGTAATAACTAAACCTAACCGATTAATACCCGAACCGAACCGAACCGAACCCATTGGTTAATCGGTCCTACTCTACATAATCTATTGTTATAAAAGGGAACAAGTTACACTTAACCCACTTGACTAACAAGATGTATAACAATGTATTTATAACAAATGACATATACTAACTCGTCGTTCTAGAAAAAATGACTCATTTTATATCTTTCCACTAAGATTAGAATTTTTTTTTACGAAAATAATTACAAGGACACCATATTGATAACCCCAATTAATTCATCAACAATACACGATTAGGGAAAAAACAACTTACTCACAACTTAAATCATTGCTTAGAATTTCAAAGTAACATTTGCTGATATTTATATCCTTAGTCCCGGTCATTACATATAAAAAAACAAAATCACTTGCATTCACACGATTATTTAAATATAAAAATATTTAGCATACAATGACCATATTTAAGCTTTTTTTATCAATCCTATTTTAATAAAAACAAGTTTAATGTAATCATACCGCAACCCTGATTTAAGCAGTTGTAATTTTTTATTGTTCCATGGAGGATATCTAAACCCAAAATCAATAAGATATCCTCTCATCATCACTCCCTTCTGATGACTGAAATTTTCAAACGAGTATTTTCCATGGTATCTTCCAAACCCACTTCCGCCAACTCCGCCAAATGGCAGCGTGTCAACAGCATACTGTATTATTTTTTATATAAAACAAAAAAATGTTATTTTGACATGAACAATGACTATTAGAGCATCTATAATAGATGATTTAATGAGATTTTTGAATGAAGTGAAATGTCTAATTGGATTAAACTCCAAACATAATGGGATACCAAGTTGTCATTCAATGTGCTTGAAGTTCTAAGGTTTTTTAATTTTTCTTAAGTATAGTCTATTTAATTTAATTTTATAGAGTTCAATACATTGTAGAATTAAATGATTTTATAAAAACTAAACTTGAGATATGTGAATCCATTAAATTTTATAAATTCAATGCATTATAGATACTTTCATATTAATTTTAATAGTTACTTAGTGTCCATATTATATGGCCAAATAATACCGAACAATATATAAGTTATTACTTGAATGATGGCATCATTAAATGTAATGCTGCCCGATGATGTTTCAGAAATCATCCTTTTTTGAAGTTTTTCATTATTTGTGAAGCCATAAACAGAAAGTGGTTTTGGCCTTGCTCTTATAAACGCAACACTATCTTCAATATTCTCCAACTGCATCCAAAAGTCAAATGGTCAAAGGTTGATCATCTATTTGTACTCAAGGCATTAAGTATAGTACATTGCAAATTATCGATGATACATGAAGTGTATAACATGATGGAGACCGGGTTGTGTTCTTACTGTGATAATTGGAAGCAATGGACCAAAGATTTCTTCTGTCATGATGGCAGAATCAAGTGGAGGATCAAGCAATATTGTCGGCTCAATAAATCTACACCACATAAATCATCATTGGTATCGGGTTTATGTCATAGGTGAGCAACAAACTATTTTTTTTCAGTATACTCATAAAACACTGTGATAATTGGTATCGGGCTTAAAATGGAAAATTTCATTCACAAAAAAATCATTAAAAAAGGGTATTCAGTGAACAAAATGTTTTGATAGTATTTTTTTTAAGACAATGATGTTTTGTAAAAAAGAAATAATAATTTGTTACTCATTTACCACGTCAACCCATTAATATTTTACAAATTTTCCCTCTTGGTGATAGAAAAGGCCAATAAAAATTTGCTTACAGTTTTTCTTCGTTTGATGAACCACCAAAAACGATAGAAGATTTTACAAGAGGTTCATCTAGAAGTCCCTTCAATCTTAAGAAGTGTTTATTGTTTATAATCTTAGCAATGCTGTTAGATTCCATTGGATTGTCTCCGAAAGATTTCATGATGTATTTTTTCAACAATTCCACCTATATATTATAAGAAATACAAATTTATATCTTTTGATTGTTGTCATAAACGTAACAATATAAATTATTAAATAGAAAAAATCAGTAAAATATAGCTTCGATTTTACCAAAGTTGGTGCGAATTTCTTCTGTGTGAGAATATAGTCAATTCCAATACAAGCTTGCCCACCACACGCTCCAAATTTACCCCAAATAATTCTTTTCATTGCAATCTATTATGGAAATATAAACAAAATTTAAAATTTAAAATTTATAGAGCAAAATTATGTTACATGATGTAATTGTATAGATATGTTTGATTATTAACACAACTTAAAATTTATTTACTGACAGCCATCAAAATCTTGTTAAAACATTGTTTATACATGTTTTATGTTTAAAGACATGCATTTAAATATTAATTTTATATATTTTAAGTTAATTATTATAACTGTTTCCCCACTACCAAGTTTCTAAGCTCTACTCGTTCATACTCCATATGTTGAAACTTAAGAAAAATACCATCCCATGTCATGCATATAGAGGTGATTTCAATTCACCCACACGACCACAAGTCATATAAACCATGTTGTAACTTATTGATAATTGGTTAAACCTATAAAATACAAAAAATACTGTAAATGAAACATGTAAAATGAAATGAAATTAGCTTAAAATTCTTTTAGTGTTTATTCTAAATATTGTTATTAAAATAAATTATTAAATAACATTAAATAAAAAAATAAAATAAAAACTGATATTTTGTCCACCATTTATTTAATATATAAAAAATAGTATATTAAATATTATACCAAAATTGACCCTACCTTTCTATCCCATGTACTAGAGATGAAATCAACCACAGCAGGGCATTTTCCACCCAACTCCAAAGTCACAGGAGTTAGATTCTTTGCAGCTGCTGCCATAACAATTTGGGCCACTCTTCCACCCCCTACGATCATTTAATATAATCATGGTTAACATACATACATACATACATATTGATATACAGATACGTAACATTAAGTGTTACCTGTGAAGAAAATCTTATCAAAATTATGTTGAAGAAGTTTTTCACCGACAGAGGCTCCACCTTCGACAACCTTAATAGCAGATTTATCAAGGTAATCATGGATTGTCTTAACGAGAACTGAGGAACAAGCTGGAGCAAGTTCTGAAGGCTTTAGGATTATTGTATTTCCTGCTGCTATTGCGCCGATAATTGGTTCAAATGATAACCCTAATTCATACAACAACCATTAAAAATATAAATATATTTTAACAATTAACAATGATTATAGAAAATTTAATCCATCTATATCAATTATCAAATGTCTTGGTCATGGAAAGAGACATAAATATCAAAATATCAAATCCAATTATCCATCCATAACTACATATTTATTTGAATTTCAACAATTTAATGTTAAGAAAACGACGACCCTTTCCCTAATTGTTCCATGAATTTGGATACATTTATAGAAAGGAGTAAAGATACATGTAATTTGACTATTATCGTTGTCACCACTTGAAAAAGTTTATTGTGAATTTTGATTTTTGCACAAGCTAGGAGTCTATGACTATACTTTTATTTTTTATTTTTGTCATACGCTACTATTTGTTATACTTGTGCAAAATGTCATTTATATGTAACGTAAATGTAGTATGTATTTTTTAGAAGGACAAAATAGTCTTTTAACTAGTTTGGCCCATCAAATTTAGTACCAGTGACCCACTGTTCTGATGTGGTTTTCAAAAAGAAACATTCCTTCATAAAATCAATAATATTAGAAAATGATCTCGTTTTAATATGATAAACAAAGAATTTGTCAAAATTTAAAACTTTTGTGTAAAGTTATATTTAAAAAAGAAAAAAGAAAAAAAAAAAAGAGTGAAGGCTGACTTGACTAGAAAAGAAAAATTATTAAAAATATATTAAAAAAAAATGGTTATACTGATACATTTAGGGGAACAAGGATTTGGAAGAATAAAGATGACAGGTACATATTAGTTAGCAAGATTTAAATGGTCCAGAAAAATAAAATTGATTCTTAACATATCCATTTAACTAGTAACACAGGGGTTAATTATGTAAAAGCAATAAAACTTGAGGGTACCAAATGGAAAATTCCAAGATGATATGATGAGGACAACACCAAGGGGTTCATGAACCAATTTCGCTGTACTAGGGAAAGCAGCCAGTGGCAGTTTAACCTGTCGACACCAAAATTACTATTATACCCTCAAAACATATTTTTCCAAAAACATATAAAAAATAAATAAAAGATTACCTTTTTGCTAGCCGTCCATTTGTTTAAGTTTCCAAGGGCATACTTAGCAGATTTTGCCACTGTTCCGATCTGTAATGAATATGAATATATACATATGTATGAGTTTAAGTTTTCAATTATGAGTATGATAAACCAATTTTTATAAAGCATAAACATGTTTTAATTTACGGTCTATGATAAAAACTTGTATTATATTTAATTTTTGTAAAGCTAGATATTATTAGAATACTTTTTTTTATTTGATTTCGATCTTACATATCAATAAAGATTACGTTTATATAATCGTTTGACACACATATATACCTCATCTCTAAAGGCTTCAACATGATGTTTGCCCAAATCTTGATTAAGAGCCTTGAAAATATCACTTTCTCTCTCTTTGAGAAGAGAGAGTATGGCTTGTAGTTGTGACTTCCTCCAGGAGATTTCTCTTGTCTTCCCACTATTGAAAGTGTCCCTCACTTCTTGTAATTCTTCTTCAAAATCACCCAAAAGTGACCCCATTTTGTGTGTGTGTGTGTGTTTTCCTCCAAAATTTCAGAATGAAGTTATTATTTCTAAATGTTCGTAGACAAGTTATATCGTTTCCTTGTTGGTAGAGACCTATATATATTGATAGTATGGCAGTAGTACACAGGCTTTTATTGGGTTTCATAAATATACTCACCCACCAAAATTCAAGTGGTTTGATGCATCACTCCTTTTTAACCAAATTTGATCATTGATCGGTGAATATCGCATAAAATAATTATACGATGTAGAAAAATATATTAATCATTAAACGTTGGTATTTGTTTAGGTTATTGCCGTTACAGCCTAACAAATTTATGTTTATAGTTTTAAAATGTCCCTATTCTAATTTGCATTGTAGACAATTCTTGTCGTTAAAATTATTCTTTTTAGTTTTGAAAATGTCCCTATTTTAATTTGCATTATAGATAATTGAAGTCTATTTTTACGTGTTAAATTAGGTAATTTGTAAAATACAATCATGTTGAATTGGTAAACTTTATATTTATGATAAAATTCACAAAAAAATATTAAGTTTATATGAAAATTTGATTTAGACATTGTTTTATTTTTTGTTTCAAATTGGACACTTTATTTATTCAATTTGTTACAATTCTGACTACTGATGTGACATGTTGACATATTAGTTTCTGATAATGTGACATTTTAATATGTCAGTTTTTTATGATGTGACATGCTTATATTGCGTGAGACGTGACATTTTTGGTGATATTACATTTTGTGTTAAAATTAAAAAAAAACCTAAAATATAAGGCTTTCGTTATAAGTTTTCAAAATGTAGTGACTTTTATGCAATTTTGTATATTTATTTACATGAAAAAAAGAAAAAATAAAAATATTTTTTTTTTGAAATTTTTTATTTCAAAACTATAATTAAAAATTCATTGTTTATATGTAATATTATAATATGAATATGTAGAGTATTACTTATAAAATTATATCCCATGTCATATTTTAATAAAATATTAAATATTTTAATAAAATATTAAATATATTTAATATTCTAGTATAGTATTACACATAATTATATGTCACTATATTATTCTATCGGGTTATTGTTATTGTAGACCAACAATATTTAATATATTGATTTAAATGGTTCATCGTGATTTTTTTTGCCTTTGAAGGGTACGAGCTTGTTTTTTTAGGTTTTAAAAGGTCATTATGAAAATTTTGAAGAGGTCACCCGATGACCCCATCCTAATCATCAGTTTGCATATGCCACCTAGATGAAGGCCCACATCTTTCTTTATCTTTCTTGTCCTCCCTTGATCATGTCTCGTGTTTCTCTCTCTAAAATCCACATCTTTCTCAAGAAACCCAAAAACTTGCTCATCCGGAAGCCGAATGGATATGGTGGCTCGATGTAGATGCGGTGTTCACGGACATGGAGTACAAAATTTCGTTACATCGGTACTGAAAGGTCCAGTATGCTCAAAAGTCATATTAAAGTGATATTGTTAAATAACATATGATATTAATGGGTCACACTAACAACAACTTGATACAATTGATTATTTATTAGAAATTGATTTTAATAAATATTCAATAAAACTCTTATAATTAAATTGGAAATTATTTATTTAATGGAAATAATAAATTCCATTAGCAAGTAACTTAATATATATCATATGGTATGATTTATAAATCATGTACAAACTTTTGGGTTAGTTGAATCCTTTTGTCTTTTTCCTAAAAGACAAGGTTTATATTTTATAAAAGAGTTTATAAAAGTTTGACTTTTTTTCTTATTCTTTATGTAATTTTTGAGATATGCATAAAAAGAAGAAGTGTATGATTTGTCTAATCATGCTTTAAAGGCATGAGAGACATGTTTATGACAATGGGGATACGTTTGCTTAAAATGTTAAGGACTAATGGTTAATACCTTCACTTTTTGCATATAAATATGAGACTTGCATTCGGCTAGAAGGTTTATCCTTCACTTCTTGCAAGTTGCCGAAATCTCTTCCCTCTATACCATTCTCTCTAGTTTTGGTTAGAAAACTCGAAGAACACTTGCATCTCCATGCCCTCTTTAAGTTCATATTGGTTATGAACTTAAAGCTTAAGGGTTTAAGAGTTTTGGACTAGCATCTACATCAAGTTGAGTCATTGTTGGTGTCTTAAAGGTTCCACATTCTTCATCAATTTCCAAGCCTCCTAAGAGGACCCAAAGAACTACAAAGGTTGTTATTTCTTCACCTCTTCTTTGGTTGGTATTTTAATCTTTCTATAACTTGCAAGAAAATCTTTGGTGGGTATAAAATTTTTATGTTATTTCAAAAATTAAAGTCTTCCGTTGCCATATTTTTCTAGTTTATGAAACTATTTTTGAACTAAAACCCAACATGTACAAAGATTATAACTTCGTCGTCCATGGGTGGCCGAAAGAGGTTTACGAGAAGAAAAGCTGGTTGAGGTTGAACGTAGGTTCGTTTCTGATAAGAAATTGTCAATGGTCGCTCAAATTCTTGGATTCATGGGCTGAAATGGTACCCTAAATCTCCTAATTTCGACAAATAGGTTGGTTACGGTTAAACGCATGGTATTGGGTTTTGATCGTCGATACATTGAAGAACATAACAAAGAGGTATCTGGAGATTGAAACGATGACGACGATGTTACGACGACAACATGCGGAGAAGGTGAGTGAGCGATACAGTGTGTTACGAGAGTCATCGTTCACCGGAGCAAGTTGTCGGAAAGCCATGAACATGGCTTTGAACTTTGTTGATAACCAGGTGCTCCGGAATTATGAGTTTTTTCACCGGAATTTATTGGATCCTTCGGTTGTTTCGCCGCTTCATTTGTTGTTTGATAGTCGAAGATTTAGTTGCATATATTTTTTGAATTTTTTTCGCTTGTATTTTGAGTTGATACTTGGGAATTTTCAAGTTTCTCGAAAAACTCAAAATGTTATCATATACCAAAGATCTTACTATGGGTTTCTTGAGAAAGACGGTGTAGGGAAAATTCGGTCGTCTTCTCCGGTTACCCACCGGTCACCCAACTGAAATTGTCGTCTTCTTCGGTTACCTATCTTAAACGAACGTCTTCTCCGGTTTCCCTACAAGTACTCTGGTCACTGTCGACATTTCCCCTCCCCACCAACAACACTGTCAGTGCTTACCCCCGCCCTTTATCATCGTCTTGATGTATTTTTTTACGGCAAATGGAGAGATGTCCATACACGGATTGTATTGGGAGAGAAACAGAGATAGAGAGCATGTAGTCGGAGTTGCAGAGGATGCCGAAGAGATGGAGGGGTAGAGGGAGAGACCATCAAAGATGAAGCTATGATTTGAAAGAGAACGGACATATGCGAATGTTGAAGGAGTTAGGGTAATAACTCTTGGTTTACGTGGCAACGATGAGTCGACTCACAACTGAGTCATTGTTGACTCGTCTGCTTAGTTGGCAGTTGACAAGGCAAAAAAAATCACGATGAACCATTCATAGGCAAAAAAAATCACGATGAACCATTCAAACCAATATACAAAACATTGTTGAGCTACACTGACAATAACCATTTTTTAGAACAACCGAATTTATAAAAACAAAAATCAAGCAATATGCTAGAAAACAAAATTACAAAGATATAATATGGTCTTATAACGATATTAACAAACATAACTTTATAAGTAGAAGTAAATATATTATTTTAATATTGAAATTTAGTTTATATATGATTAGACTTTAGGTTTGATATTTAATTTAACCTTATTAAACAACTTGTAATTATTATTATAAAGAAATTGAAAGTCACGGAAGTTTCAAATGAATGTGATGAAAGAAAAAATACATGTGAGTTTCAAATGAATGTGATGAAAGGAAAAATGCTTTAATTATAAATATATAATGATACTCCGGTTAATCTTTTATTTTTAAAACAAAAAACAAGCCCAGTTGGAAAACCATATAACAATACTATCAACCAAGGCAATCTTTCCGCATCACTTTCGTTCAAAAAATCACCACATCCCCATAAATAAAAAGCACAACACAACAAAATCTTCTTTGAGATGTACATGTATGGTGAAACTATAATATTTCTTTCTAATAAATCCCATCTATTATATTAGCTATTTAAGATAAGGAACTTAGTCCCCCCATCCCCACCCCCACCCCATCCCTCATTATTGACGATACTAGGGTTACTTTCGTTCATTTATATAACTCTGAGCCCAGCTTCTTTCAATCAATGCTCGACAATGGTAGGGGTCCAACTTGCGTTTAAATCCAAACTTGAAACTTAGGATACATAATATCATCTCTATTTCTTCGGTTTTGTCGAAGAAGATTTCCATGTATAAAGAATATTTAGGTCAACATTGTTATCAAACTTCTTCCGTTGAATACATGTCTCAAATTTACTTCATCGTTTATAAAATATATTTTATTCTTTAATAAAATCATACACATACATAATACAACAAACATTTAATTTTGAACATTGAGCCGTATTAAAGCCACCACATGTGAAGGTGTGAAGTACCACGACATGTGAATTCATTCCATTTGCCACTTTGCTTTTGAAGTTTTTTCAAATGTTTATATTAACTAGGAAATATGTTCGGGCTTCGTCCCAAAACAATGTTTTTTTGTTTTTGTTTTTTTTTTTTTTTTTTGTGTTATGGCTGGAAGGAATAATGTCACACTTGACACAGTCCACCTAAACGAGAATTAGGATTTGTCACACCCTCTCAATTTTTTGTTATTTACAAGGCATGAGCTGTCATTCTTGTCATATTCATTTTTTTTCGAAAATTATTTAAAATTAAATTTTAAAATTTCAAACATATTATTTTTATAAAACCTAAAGATTCATTAAATTGGAAAATAAAATTAATATAAAAAAACAACAAACATACTATTTATTTTAAAAACTAAAATTTCATTAAATTAGAAAAGAAAATTATAACACACCACTGCAAATTAAAAACATCACAGGACCATTAGAAATTCAAAAACATCACACTTGAAATTAAAAAACACCACACTAGAAATTTAAACACACAGCCCACTAGATATTAGAATCCAACGACTTTAAATTTGACGCCATTTTGGGCACTGCCTC